CTGGGGTAGAAAAGAGCTCCTGGCTTCATGTATCTCTGACCCATGAGTCATCCTCTGCCTCTGGGTCCCCCTCAGCCTCCACATCCTCATCCAAGATTTCCTCTTCCTGGCTTGGTTCACTTTCGACTGGCACGTGAGCCACCGAAGTATCCACAGTGGCCTTTGCAGTGGAGTTTGGGTCGCCTACGAGTATTGCGGCCGGATCTTTGTAGAACCAGCAGCTCGTGGGCGCAGCACTGGAGTGGTGGTTTGCTTCCCGCACCTTGTGGTCGGCATTCTATAGCTCCTTCACTTTGACCCTGCACTGCAATGTGTCCCGGTCATGGCCCCTTTCTGTCATGCATTGTGAAATCTGTCCGTAGGTATCATAATTCCTACGGCTGGAGCGCAGCTGGGACTGGACAGCCTCCTCTCCCCAAATGCTGATGAGGTCCAGCAGCTCCGCATTGCTCCAAGTGGGAGATCGCCTGGTGTGTGGAGCAGGCATGGCCATCTGGAAAGATGAGCTGAGACCACTGCACGCGTCACCGAGCAAACAGGAAGGGGACTTTCAAAATTCCAAAGAAATTTACTGGGTGGGGATGACGGTTCATCACCTGCGGGCAGGGCAGTAGAGTTCAAACCGCTGACCAGAGAGGCGAGAACAGGCATTGTGGGACATCTCCTGGACGCCAGTCACAGGGCTTTAATGGACCAGGGTGTCTACACTGGCACCGTCGCACTGTACCCCCAGCGCAGAAAGCTGTACGTCTCTCATTTCGGGTGGTCTTTTACAGTGCTACAACTGTGCAGTTTCTGCGCACTAAGTGGCCTGGCAGTGTGTAACCTCGGGAGTTACAGCGCAGAAAGCTGCTTTATTGCACAGAAACTTGCCAGTGTAGACAGGGCCTAAGATGTTTCCAGCAGTCATCCTGGGCCTATGGCGGGAATCCTTTATTTCCCAGTTTGATCCCCATCCAGGCTGATTGCCTACTGTCTGGTGGATGTTCCCCAGGTGTAAACCCTCTAGTAACTGTTACATAGTCAAATTTCCTAACTTCAGATACAGAATTGATACATGCATACAAATAGGATAATCATATTCAGTAAATCATAACCTTGCCAATGACACCTCACGTGACCCGTCTTGCATAGAACACATCTGTTATGCCACATTCATATCATAGCAATATCCTATGAGGAATATGGGGCGTAGAGTCACATCTGGGTTTTCCCTTCTGTTGGTTAACCATATGGTCAACTGCTCGAGCACACTTTGGTTCGTTATGCAGTATGCCCAAGAGACCAAATAACCAATATCGGTCTGGTTTATTGCTAAAAGTCAGTAATAGCTAAGGCTGGGTGTCTGTCACGGAGGTCATGGAAGTCACAGATTCGGTAACTTTCTGTGACCTCCATGACTTCTGCAGCGGCTGGTGCGGCTGGCCCTGGGCGACCCCTGCTG